GAAGTTCCTGCCTTTGAATAAAAATGCTGTTTCTTCATTAGCTATTATTGGTCCAATGGCTAACAGCAAAATCAGCTTGGGTGGTGACTATACAGGTGATTCCATGTGCATCCTTTGTGGTTTGTGGTAACTTTCTTCCATGCTTGCCATCTTCTGGTCCATTAGAATCATGTGATTATTATGCATAATAAATTTTATCATCTTCAAGTTGGGAATCCTCAAATTTATGGCAAACTTCGATAAATATGGTTTTCTTTCTTGACCATATATCAAGGCTCCTCAGTTTCAAAGTCATGTTCGTTTTCCTCATTCATTCATAAGTAATTACAATGGCCTAAGCAGAAGAACCTGAGGAGAAAAGGAGCTGATTGCAATCAATTTTGTCAAGAATATTGCATTTTGGATTTCAGCTTGAACTTTTTCCAATATATTTGTTTAAAGCAAAACCAAATGCACCATCATACACCTGCAAGCTTGAGTTTTGCTAACCTTGATATTTTCAATCTTCTAGAAGTTCCTGCGTAAAAAAAAATGGCTTTTGTAATTGCTCCAGATTTTTTTCTTTTGCAGGATTTCCTTGTGAACCAAAGAGCCTTCTTGATGGGCTTCAAGACTATGTAAAACAGGCATCTTATGCATCTGGGTGCAATAATATCTCTTGTGATTCACGCTCTGGGTTTGATGAGGGCATTCTTGCTGCCAAGGAAGCTGATTTCGTTATTGTAGTTGCTGGGCTGGATATATCTCAAGAAACTGAAGAGCATGACCGAGTTAGTCTTCTTTTACCTGGTAAACAGAAGGACCTGGTTTCTTCTGTTGCCAATGCTAGCAAAAGACCAATAATTCTGGTTCTGACTGGTGGTGGACCACTTGATGTATCATTTGCTAAAAGAGACTCAAAATTTGCAAGCATTCTTTGGATTGGATACCTTGGGGAAGCTGGTGGAAAGGCACTTGCAGAAGTCATCTTTGGGGATTTCAATCCAGGTTTGTAGTCACAGAATGTATAGCACATTTGATGTAATTTGAGACATCGGTTGAAGTTGGAAATTTGTTAGTAATAACATTTTATGGATTAAACCTAGCCTTCAGAAAAAATCATTACCAAGGATGAGAGAGTCATTTCCTAACATAAGTTATAGAATTGAGTGACTAAAAATTTTGATTGCTAGAAATAAAAGAGGTTATTTCAAAGCATTGAATCACGTTTCTACAATATGGATGGCTTCATTTCTTGTTGCCTACTAGAAGTTTGATGTGATTTTTGAAATATTTGATACAGGTGGAAGACTTCCAATGACTTGGTATCCAGAGTCATTCACCAAGGTGCCCATGAATGACATGAACATGCGTGCTGACCCTACTCGTGGTTATCCTGGGAGGACCTATAGATTTTATGAAGGGAACCAAGTGTATGGCTTTGGACAAGGCCTAAGCTATACTGATTTCACTTACAAGTTTTTATCAGTGCCAAGCAAATTAAGTGTAGCAGGGTGCTTTACAGCTGCTTGTAGTCCAAACATACTGCATCAAAACCAAGAAAGGCTCAGATATCTCCATATTGATGAGGTAAAATCTTGTGATTCATTGAGATTCTATGTACATATTTCCGTGGAAAATGTTGGAGATATGGATGGAAGTCATGTGGTCATGTTATTCTCTTCCTCACCAAAACTTTTCAAAGGCATTCCACGTAAACAGCTGATTGGATTTGATCGCATGCATACCGTTTCTCATCAATCAACCAAAACAAGCATCTTAGTCAATCCTTGTGAACATCTCAGTATTGCAGATGAGAATGGTAAAAGAGTATTGCCCCTGGGCAATCATGTTCTGTTGCTAGGAGAAGAAGTCAAACATTCTATGTCCATTGAAGCTTATTGATACCACTGAGACTGATTCAAACACAAATCTGTATATATTATTTTGCATCAATAATGGATTGCAAATTGTTGAGCAGCATATGTTCCATTATTATATAGCTTGTGTTCATATTTCTCAACATAAGATCATGTTCTTGTCCTGTAGTGATTGAACAGACATGTCACGGGCTTTCCTCTTGTATTTTTATCAACACGAGTAGCTGTCATTAAGGTTCATATCATCTTAACCTTCCCCATTGTGTGCTGACAGGCGGATACATTCTCCTTAAGATCCGTCCTACCTCATACACTCACCCAAAATTCGTGCGTGGAAAAAGATGAGCCAATTAAGGCTCACATGTATGACATGAGCCCTCAGTTCTTGTGTTTATTTGATTGGCTGCTAGACTTGGCCAACTGCTCCATTAATGCATTATTACGACCGTGAGTTTCTAACATCATCTAGGGAGGAGAGAAACCATACCAATTATTTAAATAGGGAAATTTTCAACTTTTATATTAAAAATGTAATTAATATATTTTTTTATTATTAATTTATATAAAAAATAAATATAATTTATTATTAATTATTTAATGAAATTATTT